AAGCATAGAACGCCTAGTAAATATTAGCATAATTTGATACCGTAGAAGCGTAGAAGCAAAAAACTGACCTTCATGTAAGCAACGTAATTCTCCTTCGACTGCTCCCAAGTATGATGTCCAAGACCATAATTATTCTCTACATCACCGTCAGCATTCAACCTCCACAATAACATGAATCGAAGCTTACCTAGACCAATGGCTACCGCAGCTCCAATTGTAAGGACCTGGGCAGCAGCCATAACTCTATCATCCCAGCCAAGAGAATGGAGAACCTTGTATCGCACATAGAGTCGCAATGCGACGGTGATGGTAGAAAGAATGGAGAAGGTAATGAGAATCGCTTGAATCTCGACCGAGCGGGATGAACTATCCGCCGGCATTGAGCGAGTGTCCATAGTTAGATGACTCTCGTCAGCCCAACGGAGATACATTATGCACTCACGACCAAAACAAATTTCAGCATATGTTTGGAGTCATCAGAAACACATTTCTACGCGCGGGGGGACCCCAAGGTCTAGTTAAGTATATTACTTCACGAGAGGGGCTCATACTTCAGCTCTCACAGATTCCGTCTCACTACTGTAAGAGATCGACGAGCTTGAGCTTATAACGCATATCCAATCATCAATATGTCTCAGCGCAGCGTCCCCTGTACAGTGGTGATCTAATCGTGCATCTCTTTCCTCAAGCTGTAATCTCTCCGACCTGATCTGCGGAGGCAATGATACCCTGGACCTGAAGATTACCGCTGATCGTAGTTTTACTGCGCGGTCCTGCACCAACCAGATCGAGGCGTCAACTGCCGCAGCGTGTTGCGGGCGACGTGAGTGTCGGTGCGGCTTGGATTTGATAACTGCCGATCACAATATGCCATGTGGTTGGAGTGGGGGAGAGCAGGGGTTTGGTGTTGACACTGGACAGGCTTACCGAATGTTCCGAGGTTAAAGAGGAGGGGTTTGTAAGGAATTTGTAACGATGAAGACCTTTTTGTTTCGTCGATCAATTGTTGGAATCTCCACTGGTGATATTGTTCTGCTTCGCCTACAGGCCCAACAGCTTGGACAAGACTGATTGCCAAGCCATATCCTTGTTGAAATATTGAAATGACCTGCATATCAGATCTCATTTTTGCTTTTTCTTTTGGGCTCACCGCTTCGACTAATTCCTGCCTGACAATCGAGCGACATCGAAATGTCGTGATTATCCGTAATTCCGAGGCGTGCTTTTTGGTTTCAAGTAGATCTGTAACATGGCCGGTGACGAACGAAGATCTCGCTGCAGAGAGTGAGCATGTGATCTTGGCTTGACGGGGGGACCCTGGTCGATTAATGATTTGGGCCCGTCAATATGGCACTGAGATGTCAGTCCGTCTCGACGCTATCGTGACATTTGGCATTGACGTAGTTAATGATCCAATTAGCGTAGGAAACGATTACTCACGCTATGAGGTATTTGTTCCTGACAGCGCTTTGGCCTTTTCGTGACTCGGTTTGAGCTTAGACGTACCCTGATAGAGAGTCATGGCGACTTAGATTATCCGAGGGTACCCCACTAAAACATTTCTTGGTTTCACGGACTCGAAACATTACATGAAACATTTGGTGATGATTTTGTTCTGATCTACTACCCTATATGTCGTATAATATACGTTCGCTTGTACAATATTCTCTGCGGAGGATTGACTGGGGCCTCTACGCGACGTTGTATCATTTCCAAACTACTCCATAAATTTAACAAAGTACAGGCGATCTCACGTATGCCTGCTCACCGCGTGAATTGCCAATGCGACCCCATAATACTGCCTTTTACAATTAAAAGGTTCCGGTTGAACGTTACATAGCAGCTTCCCCTCGACGGTCGATCCTATGAGGTCACGTTTGGTCACCTCAAGTCCCCAAGAAACAGTTTCCGAGCAACACCGTTAAGCGATTGAACTTCCCTCGTCATGATGAAACAGCCTCGAACTGGCAACGTTTGGAGTCTTGGCGAAATGCAGCTCTTTTCGAATAGAGTTGGTCGATCAGCGAGTCGCTTGACGCGATGCAGATCAGCGACATTTTCGTCGGCGCCACTGACATTGGACATCGACAAAAGCACCATTGTTTCCAACGCTGCTGCCATAGATCCGTTGAGTTATTGGTGTGAGATGACACATACGATGGTCATTTAATAACGTCTCTACTCATGCTGCATGCCTCGGACCAACGGCTTTTGCTTTGGGGACTGGTAGCTGGCATGATGAATGCAGAGTGAAGTACTCTAATCTTTGGAGGAAGTCTTCGGATACGGGGTAATAGATTGTAGGGATATGATCAGATGGAAGCTCAAGATAATTGACATTGCATGCAAGAGCCAGAGCTCTAGGCGACGCTGTCAAGACACGAGTTTACTCATCCCAATAGCTAGCTGGCTTTGACGTTGGATCTACATAAGCACAATGAGATATTTACTAATCATGTATTCAAATCCTGGAACGGGTGCTGGACCTCAGAAACCTACTCCTTCAGTATAGTAGGTCTATAATAGACACCGCTGAACCCTCAATTCATAGCCATTTCGGTCCAGACATCGTCCAACTTGCTCAATCTAGCAATCACTTCGCCAAGACATGCGCCAAATCACCTCATCATCACTCCCAACAATCCTTTTTCTCAATAATGGCTTTGCCACGTGTTGACCTCAACCTTCCTTTCCCAGCCTCACCAACTAAGCGAGCATATCTGCGTAAGCGTCACAGCGTCTTCACCATCATACCAAATCGCTACACCCAACTGACTTTGCATAACATACCAGCACCGCCCATCACCAACAACAGGTTCGACTCTTGTGGTCTCACTACCCAGTTATTTTAGCTTTGTGGTTGCTCAGACTCCCGTCTAGCCCTTGCATACGGAATGCGCCACATCCCGTCCGCTAAGAGATTCCGGATAGCGTATGAAAACGGAAAGGCAAACTTTATTCTTCTTGCTCGCGAAAGAGCGAGGATGGTATTTAGAGAGGGTGTCATCACATTCGTGGACGGATGCATTTGCTGGTTTTTTTCTTCCATGGTTTACATATAGCGTTGCTCGTACGTGCGTACAGTATTAAGCAACCGTTTCAACGACGACACTCTTATACAAGATTGAAGACATAATAACACCGCAGCCATGGCGATAGGACCGTCAACCCTTCTTGTCAGTATCATCGTTGCTGTCTTGTGCGTCAGCTAACAGGGTGCAGATCACAGAATGGACGCTTATAGCCTTGTCGACACTCGTCATCATCGCGCGAATTTACCTCCGACTCGTCATCCAAAAACGAAGACTCATCGATAGCGACATATGGATGATTCTAGCATGGGCAGCGGGTATCACCGTGGCGTCGTTCTGCGTCACGTATGTTCACATGGGGGTGATGGAGCCATGGGTCGACGGCACTTTGGAGGACTATGATGGAACTCGCAAGGATAAAGAGTTCATTCTCAAGGTACGCCGAAATTATTGTTATTAAGGATAAAGGCTAATATGGTATAGTTGCTTTGGATCTGTGCTCTGCCTTTCTTCACCGCGTTTTATCTCTGCAAGGCTGCTCTGCTTGCCGTCTACCGCCAGGTCATTCCTGTTCATATGCACAAGAGGAGAATGTTTCTGTGGGCCACTGCTCTTTACGTCGCTCTATCTTATATCGTCACAATGGTTCTTCCGTTTTGTGTCTGTATCCCGGTCACTCGATTCTGGTAAGCCACCGTCACCAGTGAAATTATGCAAGTTGCTAACAGCTATAGGTCATTGGAACCTGACAACAAATGTCCACATAATTCTGCAATGATGTTCTTGAAGACTTCTTGGGCTCTGCACTTTGCTGGTGATGTGTTCAGTAAGCGCTTCCCTTTGACGATGACATGACCTAAGCTAATAGACCCAGTCTTCATTCTTCCTTGGCTTATCGTACCTGATCTCATGATCAAAGGATGGCTGCGAGTTGGTGTTTACTTGACCTTCCTTCTCGGCATCATCAACATGGTCATCAGCATCGTCCGCTTCCACGAACTATTCATTCTCGGAGCCAACCGCAAAGTCTCCATCGTCGAAGCCCGTAAGTCTCTCACCCAAACCCACCCAAAACCATACTAACAAATCCATAGACTTCTGGAATACCCTGGATCTGTATCTCGGTCTGGTCATCGCCTGTCTCCCCTCATTACGACCCTACTTCAACCTCGCTGCCAACTCACGCGCATTCAACAGCATTCGAGGAAAGGGAACAAGCCAGAGCAGTCGCTACACCACTGATTCCATCCAGAAACCTGAGGCAGCGAGACTTGCGCAGGATCAATCGGGTATTTCACCTAGTCGACCTATCAGACGCTTATCGCACTCATCGCAAGATTTTGACTTGGAGTCTTGTCCCGACTCGTCAGATTCACATGAGGATGCAAAGAATAAAGCTTTTGAGATTGAATTGGCTCGGGTTCGTACCCGTGCGAGGGAGTCATCCGATGAGTAGTGCACACGGGGAATAATGTATCAGAGCGACTTCAAAGAGCACTGTCTATCACAAGTATGGAACGAGGACTAATACGTTCATTCATTTTGGGATGGTCTGCTACAACCCATACTGGAAAGAAATTAATAAAAGTCACTGTTTTGAACTTCACAAAGTGCTAAAGTATTACATATTATACATTCGCAACTGGCACTAATACACGTCCGGCCATAAAGCCACTCGAGCTTATTTCCAAAGGCAGAATTCTTTAAAGGAAAATCAATTGTATTGGTATGCTGTGGCGCAAGCTATGGAAGATCAAGCACCAACCAAACCGAGGCTGGACTAGAGAGCAATCTAGACCTGAGAGATCCAACAGTCCTTTTTTTCCCCCACCACCGAGAAGCTTGCCGAGTCGAGAGCTTGCAAGAGGAATGAAGATTACTGGTAGGTGCTGGCTGAATTCGAAGCAACTTAATTGTGTGTCTGGTCTTTGGGTACCTTATGTCTTATTCCCGAGATCCTTTCACTCTTCATGTCGGTATGATGGATCCCTTACGCCTAGGACTTGTATCCTCAAGCATGGGATGGTTGGGATATTTCTCCCTAAGTTTCTTCTTAAGCTTGGGATGTCTCTCCAAAAGCATCCGAAGATACCTTTCTCGTGCCCGTTGCCGTCGAATTTTTCTCCAAGTGTTGGTCAAGGTCTTGACATCTAGAACCGGACGTACAGTCGGCCTCCGGCCTGCAAGGGACTTCTCACCCCGATCAGAATGCTTATCCTTGGAGCTTTTTAAGTACTTCTGAATCTTGTGGGCCTGTATCCTATATGCCGTTTTGTAAAGATTTCTTGCGAGATCCTCACTTTCCTTCGATGTGAAGTTGTTAATCTCTATGGCCACAGCGTTGTCAAACAAACTAGAGCGCGTAGGCATGGGGCGTTCCGAGGCCGTGTTTGTTTTCGTCTCTGGTTTCTTTTTGCTCTCCTTATTCTCCGTTTGCAGCTTTGATTTAGAATCTTGCTTCTTGTCGTTTAGCCCAGACCTGGTTGTATTATCAGAGTCGGGTTTAAACTTGTCCGAGGGTGGCTTGATGAACTGCCCCAGCTTTTCCTCCATTTTCTTCTCCATTTTTTTCTTCTCCTTCTTCATTGTCTCCTTCTTCGCCAATTCGACTGCAATGAAAACCCACCATGGCATTATACATCGTTTCCCAATAGTTTTCTTTGTCTCAACTCCTTTCTCTCCAATAGGAGCTAGTTCGGCCTTGTGAGGCTTGTCGAGAGTCTCTTCCATCAATGACTTTATGTATCTCGAGAGCTTGAGGGATTTTGGGCTGGGCTTGGATGCTTTATTGGGGTCTTTCTCCTGTGCCTTCTTCCCACTATGCACCAACGCCTGGCGAAGGAGCTCTTTAAACTCTTTCTCGCCTTCCTCGTTGTCTTCCTCGAGCAGCTTTTTGTATTTTTTCTTTGCTTTTGCTAGCATCTTCATCGATTCTTTATCTTCAGCCAATTTCAGCCACTGGTCTTCTGTCACATCAGACACTTTGAATTCTGGCTGGATGGCTGAGTCGTTGTCGGGTCTAAGAGGTTTTCCGTCCTTGTCCGCTTCTTGCTTGTCGTTTCTAGGAAGCTTGTTCTTGAGCTCTTTTTGCTTCTCCCTTCTCCTGCCCTCGGCGAAAATATTATCATAAGGCTTTTTGAGTTTGTTGAACATGTCCACGTCGACCATGGGACGCGCTGACTCTTTGACCCTGTTTTCTCGCTGAGGTTTGACGTATTCGTAGTCCGTAGGCTTAGTCTGCTGCTTTTCTCCGAACTTTTTGTATGACTGGCTGTTCTTGTACTGTGGCTCCTTTTCTTTGTATGACTGGCTGTTCTTGATCTTGTCGATAGAATTATCCTTCCACTGTCTTATGCTTTCAGACTTCTTGTTATCGTTGGCAGACGTGCGGCTTGAACGATATGGCTTGAATAAATCAGGCTTCACCTTCGGTTTGTTTTTATACTTTATGTTTTCGTCCTTATGTTTCTTGTGGTCGTGTGTTTTCAGATCCTTGTCTTTGTGGGTTGCGCCCACGTTTTTGTCATGCTTCGAAGAAAACTCCACTGGATGTTCGGTCTTGGTTGATTCTTCATTTCCATTCTTGCCAGGCTTGTCCTTTGATACGTCCTTACCATCAGACGTCACCGTGATTTTCTGATAGACGATTGTGGTGGAATTCTCATTGCCGTGCTGGACGTGAGTTTTACGATGGTCGTGCTTTTCACCTTTGGGCTTCCACTTGAGGTCTGGTGATCCCTTAACGTTGACGCTGCCCAACACTGCTGAGTCGTCCTTGTTGACAGGATGAGCAATGACATGGGTAAGGCCCACCAAGAAGATGAGGAGGAGTCGGGAGAGGCATGGAGGTGCCATCTTGAATGATGAGGGGGAGATAGTATGGGGATGTGTAAGGGTACAGTGCCCCCTTTGAGACGGGAGCAGGATGTGGTATCTGTTGAAGAGTGTCTGAATGAGGGATGAAGCGGTGAATTTATAGACAAATGGTCTTGGTAGGAAGATACGTATCACTACGTATCACAACTTGGCTTATGGGCTGCTCAATTACGGCGTCTACTCGAACTTTTGAGGTATTTTGCTTGCAGTGCTGAGGCTGACACGCAAAACCTTAACTCCGCATTCAACACGTCGTGAGTGTTGATATCACCATTCAGGTAATACTTCTCAGTGGATTATTTTCATCGTGCAATTCAGAAACCTTGATTGAAACAGCACCGATGTATTCCAAGAAACTAGTCTATCTCTTAGTCGATGTGTCTTCGATCGTTGACTCAATAGATAGTCCCAGAACTGCATAGCAGACCATGGGACTGAGGTCATATCTGATCAAGTGTTATTCCTCGTACTTTGAACCGATTTTGAACTCAAGATATAATCATATATAAGTCTGTTGATATCCTGAGGTGCTTTCGTTCAAAATGTTGCCAACCCTGCCTCCCCTAGGAGACGTCTCTCATTGTTAGCATAGGCCTTTCCTTGACGCGTTTTCCTGGCCCTCAGAATGTCCTATTTCCCTCACTGGTCCCTGTCTCGGTTATATTCTTGCCGGAAAATATGCCAATAGCCACCGGTCACTTTAAGGATCCCGACGCAAATCTCGCCGACATATCGGAGACTTCGCATAAACTAAACAATCCGCAAAGTCTCCCCGCAAACACATATAAAAAGTCCATTTTGAGCCAACCTTATAGCCATAACTCATTCAATCATCCAAAACATCCATCAATTACCCTCACAATGTCAGCCCCTCTTGAACTCTTCTCCCTCTCATGGGGCATGTACCCCCGCCGCGTCCTCATCTATCTCGCCGAGAAAAACCTCCTCAAATCACCACTCATTAAAGTTACAGAAGTAACCGTCTCTCCCAATAGCAATAGCCTGACCGCACCCGGAAAGCCCAAGGGCACAGCGCCAATCTTGCGTCTTCCAGATGGAGTGTTCATCAAGCAGTCAATCGCCATTTTGGAGTACTTTGAAGACATCTACGATAATCCACAGCAGCCATGGCAAGTTGAACTTGCTAAGGATGCAGGGGGCAGTATGCTTGGAAGGGCGGCGGAGGAGAAAGCACGCGTCAGAGAGGTTTTGGGTCTTGCGGATGAAGTCACCAGCCAATTTGGCTTTGCGTGCCACAAGGGGACGGTGCTGTTCAACATGCTTGAGGAGACGCACCCGGTCACAGCGAAACTTGCTCTTGAGTACTGCACCAAGAATCTCAAATTGCTGGAGAAATACTATGAGGGGGATACCCGCTTTGATGCTGGAGATGGACAAGCCACTATTGCTGATTGTGTCTTGTACTCGACTCTGCACTTTGCCAAAGACCTCTACTCCCTCGATCTTCTGGCAGACCCTGAATTGGCCAGTCTTCGGGCATTTTACTCTTGGTTCAGTGGCAGAGAAAGTGCCCAGGTTCCGGAAAACCATTTCCCTGCTCAGATCAAGGAATTGGCATGTCAATGGCTTCCTGTGGAGTAACTTTAAGTGGCAACAAGAATAAACTCTTTCCACGCTCACAGAATCAACGACTTCAGATACAGATATAGGCTTGATTTATGTACAATACACAGAATCATAGATAAACATGAGCTCATGGACTCTGCCAGATCCACTCCACCACGATCCTCATCTCGGGCCGTTGATAGCGCCGCGTCTCGGCTGCAGTGTTTCACGGCTTTTCCCCCTCCCGAAATATTGCGGGGGTGGCGCATCAACCTCTCGGATGTTTTGCCTATCAAGTTCGTGGTTGATGTCATGTGAAACAATCCCGTCATTGATAAATTGAGACATTCCCTGATAAACAAACTCACACAAATACCAAATACTCATCATTCAAAATGGGCTCTACGAATGGAAACGAGGCGATCAAGCCTCTGATGCTAATTGATGGCCAAGTAAAAGCCAAATCCCCGCTCGTTGATTAAGCTGAACTGACTGTATCAGTTGATCGGCGCCTCTGATGGCAACACTTTTCCCCTCTTCAACCCAGCGACAGGCGATAAAGTCGCAGATGGTAAAACACACGATCCCCGCTCACATTCTCAGCTAAAACTCTCTCGCTCAAGTCCCCGAAGCCACAAAAGACGATGTCAACAACGCCGTCGCAGCTGCACAGCGCGCCTTTCCTGCATGGTCTGCATTAGATCCCGCCAAACGCGGCGGCTACATGAAGAAACTCGCGGGTTTGATCCGACAACATAACGACGAACTGGCTTTACTCGAGGCAAAGTCAATGGGTCGTCCACTACCCGAGTTCTTTGAGGGATACGCCGCTGCTGCGAGTTACGAGTACTACGCTGAAGCCTGGCCTCATATCCAAGGCCAGGCGAGTCTCAACACGCCAGGCTATGTCACTATGACTCTACGTCAGCCATTTGGCGTTATCGGTGCAATTATTCCCTGGAACGCCGCTCTCCTCTTCTTTGCGGGGAAAACTGCGCCCGCGCTCATCACTGGGAATACAGTCGTGCTCAAGTCGAGCGAGAAAGCACCGCTCGGCGCAGCCAAATTCGCCGAGCTAATCCACAAGGCGGGCTTTCCACCTGGTGTCTTCAACGTCATATCAGGCCACGGAAACCCCTCAGGAGCAGCCCTCTCATCACATTTGGACGTGCGCGCAATCTCGTTCACTGGCTCGGGACGCACAGGACGGGCGATTCAGGAAGCAGCGGCCAAGTCCAACCTGAAGAAAGTCATTCTCGAACTCGGTGGCAAATCGCCTGTTATTATTTTCGATGATGCGGACATTGAACAGGCTGCCAAGGACACTATGCACAGTATCCAGTGGAACAGTGGACAGGTCTGCATGGCGAATTCTCGCGTTTACGTGCAGGATACTATTGCTGAGAAGTTCATTGAAGCTAGTAAGAAGGCACTTGCAGCTGCGAAGCCTGGTGATCCGACGCAAAAGGGCGTTGATCACGGTCCGCAAGCGGACAAGACTCAGTACGAGACCGTTCTGTCTTACATAGATGAGGGTAAAAAGTCAGGAAAACTGGTTCAAGGTGGAAAGGGAAGTTATGATAAGACGGGAGGCTTCTTCATTGAACCGACGATCTTTCTGGACACGGCTGAAAATGCCAAGATCATGAAGGAAGAGATCTTTGGGCCTGTCGTGAACATCAATGTCATCAGAACAGAGGAAGAGGCTGTTCAGAAGGCGAATGATACAGAGTATGGTCTTTACGCTGCAGTTTACACCAAGAATATTGATCGGGCTATGAGGGTCACTCAGCAGCTCAACTCGGGGTATGTCGGCATCAACTGTACCAGTCCCACGACAGCTCGAGATCTTCCTTTTGGGGGGTACAAGTCTTCGGGGCAGGGTAGAGAGGGATGGCTTTATAGTATGGATAACTTCTTGGAGGTCAAGAGTGTGATGATGAAGGTGGACACGGGGGGTTCCAAATTGTAACTGAGGCTATGAATGGTCTCAGTTCAATATACTCATGTCTAGCCATAGTAAAGTTTTATGCCAACTATCTTATCCACGGAGACCAATGATTCTCACAGCTCAGACCCTTCTAGTCCATCCAAAAAGCATCCAAGTCCAGAAGAAACTCAAAGTCCACATTAATGAAGCTTTTCCAGAGATCAATCTCCCTCAACCACGGCTTCGTCTGCATCGCAAACGCAACAGCCGTACAGTACCTCAACAAATCATCCTCATCAACCCCCATAACCAATATCAAATCCGCCCTATGCACAACCCTATCCCCAAACTTATCCTTCATCACATCCAGCCTCTTCCCCGTAGTTTGATGCGCACTAAACTCACTACCAGGCATATCCTTCGGCACAAACTTCCACTCCCACGATCGGCCACGACTGTCGAGGAAGCTTGTGTTTCTGCGGTTGAAGATGCCTACCATGAAGGGGTAGTAGTGCGGTGCAGACCATAGACGGAGTAGGGCGAAACGAGCGGTGGGATGCTTTTGGGAGAATGAGCGTGCGGTGGGGATTACTTGGGGCCATTTGGAGGGGTCGACGAAGGTTGGGGGGTATGTCATGGGGAAGTTGCCGTATTGGTCTTGGTAGTTGATGAAGAGGTCGAGTTTGTTTGGGCGGTGGGGTTCTGTGTTTGCTGTTGCTATTCCGAGAACGACTTCGGGATGGTTTTGCATGTATGCTGGGGCTATGACACCAGCTTGGTACACTGTGACTTGTTAGTGAAGTCTCGTAGAAGCGGCGGGTAACGAACAATGAGCGATGATAGGACGGACCGTCAGACTCCATTCCATAGGGTACACGTCCCCAAAGTATCTCTCCGTCTTATAAAACTCCATCCACTCCTTCCAAAACTCCTTCTCCCTAAATTTATAGCTCGTTCTCGTCCTTCGATCAGGCCGCACCCTACTTCGCTCTTTAGGGTCAAACACCCCCGACTTTCTAAACTCATCGCACTGGCTTGAGTTGACAAACATGGTTGGTAACTTTGCGACATCCGAGTTCGGGAAGAACATGGCGATCATGGCGAATGCTTGGACAATGTCTTGCACGATGAAACTATGCGGCCAGGGATACTGCGGATCTTGAACGTAGTCGTCGTAATCGCCGCGGAGCTCAAGCCACTCGAGGATCTCAGCTATGAAAAAGATCCAGTCTGTTGAGCCGACATGAGTCGTCTTGAGCATTGCGCGGAGTGTTTCTTGAAGCAGGTTGTATTTGGCGTTATACCCTGGCTCGAGGTCTCCAGCGTGGAAAGACTCCTTGAAGCCTGCGCTTGTTAGCATTGATCATGTTGGCGAAGTGAAGTACTTACTAAAAGCCCTGTCTCGCTCCATAATCTCCATGGGATCAGACTCATCAAGCCGTCGATCATACGACAGTGTCTTATACGCATTCAGCAACCCCGTCCGCTGTAGAAGTGCCTTTTGCGATTTCTTCAACTTATCACTCCTCGCCTGCAAAAGAGCCGTCTCCCAAAACTTGGGCAGACCCCAGATTTTATCCTCATCATCATGTTTCGCCATACGCATCGCTTTCATCGGATCCTTGCCCTTATTGATAGCCTCCAGCCCCTTGACGAAATGTCTAGCCGTACTGGGCAAGATCCCATCTTCAATACTCGCAACACCGTTCCTAATCTCACGGAACGAAACACTCTTCTTATCAGAGGTGAGTTCATCCGGGAAGAGGATCGCGTCTTCGACTTCGTTGGCTTTGTTATAGAACATGTATGGTGATTCAGCTATTTCGGTGTCTTTGCGCATCGTGACCTTTTTGTTGCTCACGTCGAAGAGCCGGAATTCTGATCTTTCGTCGGCGATGGTGTCCCAGAGGCTTGTGAGGTTCTCGCCGGGTTTGATCTGGCGGGTGCGCATGGTCTTTTCGTTACGGTGGAGGCCGCGGAGGAGGAATTCCATGTGGATGTACATGTCGCAAGGTGTTCTCATACGCCAGGCATTACGGAGTTCCTATCACCCGTCAGTTTTGTCTTGGTGGTTGGGAGGGGACTTGCCATGACGACAATGTTATAGAGGTCCATGTGTGGCTCGCCAGGCACAAAATCCCAGATAAACACATCATAGTAATCATCAAACCCAAACCTCCACTCTCTCAGAATATCCGTCAACTTCATAAAGTCAGGTCCAACCTCTAAAATATTAAACCAATCATTCTTGGACGCCCTTCCAAGGCCTTGTTTCTTTCGATACGTCCGAGCTGCTCATCATCCTGCGCAGTGATAACACGGCCAGTCTTGCCATCCCGCACCATGACAAGAAGCTCTCCCCTCCGCATGAGAAGATACTGCAGAAAGCGTCTAGTCACAGGATCATTCCGCTTCATGTTTCCAACGAGAATGTTCCGTGTCTCAACGATATCGTGCTGTCGACGGCCTTGGCTTCGTCCGTCGATTTGATGGTGGTGACTGTATTTGTCTGCGTCAAAGTCTGTGAAGTAGGGGAAGAAACCTAGTTGTTGGAGCTGCTGCATGAAGCGATCTTGGCCCCATGACGTCCAGTTCGACGCGGGGAAGTATTGCCATAGCGTGAGTAGATTGAGATCAGAGAATTCGGACCAGTTTCTGCAAAGTTGGATAGCATGCTTCAAATCGCAGTCCTTGGCCGTGACACTGAACTGGAGCCATCCATCGCGAGACATTGCATTCTCACTAGCATGGTTCCAGATACTCTTCCCGCAGATGGTAACCTTTGTCTTTCTCTGACGTTTCGATTTCCTTGATTTTCTCTTGAAGCGATGACTTTCGACTTCTTTAATCACTCGTTCTTTGAACCAATCATCAGTGTGGAGATGATGATATCGCTTATCACCCTGTAAAAGCTGCTCCATGGTTTCATCATCATCGTCGTCGTCGTCTTCCACGGGGAGTGCATCGTCTGCTTTGTCGCCACGGGCGAAATCGGCACATGCATCACGAATGTCTTGCAGAGTTGTCAGAGACCTTGAGGCAGAGATCTCGTAGTTCAGCTTCTGTGACGGAAGTGTCGTCGAGGAATTCTTGGACAGTTGTCGCTCGGAGGGCGGCGGGGAGGAGAGATGCTTGAAGAAGGACGAGACGGCAGAAGAGGAGGAGTTTGATCTCTCGGATGTCGCGGATTAACTCGTCAATCTCGTCGTCTTCCATCGGAGCAGTCTTATCCCATGCCTCATCATCCGGATCTTCATTCATAGCCATGCGGTCTAGGTATGCTTCTTCAAGGAAAGCATCTTGAAGTTTCTGCTCCTCCTTCTTGCGCATTAATTCCATTCTAGCCTCCATCTGTTTCATGTGACGCTTGAAAAGAGCAGCTTCCTGCTTAATCATCTTCTGCTCTTTCTCGCGGTTCGATTCTTCGTTGTCTTGAGCATCTCGCACCCACGAGTAACATTGCTCTTTCTTGTATAGAATGGCCATGCGTCGCTTCCGGGCTCGTCCAAGGGCTAGAAGGACAATGTGGTGATGACTGACGAGCTTATCGATATAGGCCTGGTGGCCATAATCGTAGCTGATGGAATAAAAATGGGAGTGATGCTTTCTATGGCTGTCATTAAGTACGTGAGTCTCATCAATTGCATAGTAGAGGCTCCTGATGTTCGTACCTGGCACTGAGGCACAATCGGAGCCATGGTAATCAAGATGTTTGCTGATGATTGGCGATTTCGGGTTTGACACCGTGAATCTCAGATTGTTGGGTTTCAGCTCCTCACATTGTGACATGATAAGATAAGCTCGACGAGATAGGATAACGGGGCTGACTAAAGGCGCTTTCCGAAACGTTCAAGTACAGTTATCACAATTGCTTATCTGTATTTGCAATTTTGGGCTGAAATATAAGTGATATTATCTTTTCGATTTAGAACTATTATTTCTAAAATGCTATTACTTAGATCTTGTCAATACTGATTGTTTGATGTTACATAAAGGTGAACGTTTATATTATTTTTCTATTAGAAATATTAATATTGTTTCTATTCTTCTGTCTTTATATAGGGTATATATAAATAAGTAAATTTAAGTTTTAATGTATATCTAGATTTACTAGTTTAGTCTGCTATTTATAAATTATATAAATTATAATAATTTATCTTTAAAACCTTAGCTGCTAATGCCTATAGTATAGATGCCAGAGGAGAGCGATTTATAAACTTTACTAAAGGACTGACGAGAAAATAAATGTAGTACAGGTTTGTTAACTAATTGTCTAGATTGCTGAGACTTCATCACGCTAAAGAACGAGACGCGTTCAAACTGCTATATGTTGCTTTACTGGTATTCCAAGCCTTGCGAGTCTTTCGGGGTATTGGATGGGCACTTCCTCTCAACAGAGATTCCACCCAAATATCAAGCACCTCCCATTCGTTACACCAATCGAGCATCTCATCCTCAATAGTGGGAACAAAACAATCCAATGCTTGCAGCATAGCGCAAACCTCCTGTATAACACACTGGCGAACAAACTGTATACTATCTTTTGCTCTGTGGAGCCCCTTCATTGGACTGGCATATAGTAGTGACAGTTGCACTGCGTTCTTGGTACATTTAACGACGCCACCTAGTTGATCACAATCGTCCATTTCGAACAAACGATCGAGGGCATCTTTGATACTTGACGAAAGATATTTGACAACCTTGAGCCGCCGTGAAAAGAAGTTCTGGAAACTGTCGTTGAGCGCGTCTTCCAGAGGAACCCAGGCCTCAAAATCGTCCTGGTCAACATCGAATCTATCCCTCATCGAGTATCTTAATGCAAGAGCGCTTGCCTTGCCAGGCCCCTCAGGACAACATAGAGTCCACTCTATGCCTTCCAATAGCCTGTCGAAAAAAGACCGATAACGCCATGATGGTTCGAGAGAATATAATCTAAGGAGATCCCCCACAACATTGGCATAAGGCTGATCGAAGGGATTGTCTTGCGAGGCAGATAATGAAGAACTGAGAAGGGTGTAGAAATCGTCTGGGAAAAGCCTATCGAAGCCAAATTGTAAAACGTAGAGCAAATATGACATAGCAGAGCTAAACATTAACCAATTAGCATCTGGGGGCAGAGAACAGTGCAGGATGATTTAATATACTTACCTTCCATCGGATGATTTCTGTGCCGGGTCAACCCCCTGTGCCAAGACGAATTCGAAGAGCTGCCGCAGGTTGTAAAAGGTACTCTCGGCTGACCTTCGCTCTTCGTCCGAGTATCTTGGTCCCCAACTCTCTTCTAAATCTATATCTTCAAATCTAAAATATAAGTTGAAGAGAATATCAAACATCTCCACGGCAATCATACTGAGCAGATTCTCGCCGTTCATTGATACAGCTGAGGGGGATACGTCTTTAGCACGAATGATCGACTCCGCGGCGTGTGCGTTCCCCGACTTGATGGCGTTGAAGATTGCAGAGTCTTTAGGAAGAACTTGAAGCGGCCGGAGGGAAACCCTGGGGGCTTCTCTAGTGATCATCGATCTTAGGTGCTGAACCTTCACCCCGCACCTGAGACGTAGGATCCAGGGAGATGGGATAACGATGCACCCTGTAAGAATGTGCGTAAGATCATCCCCCATGTAAATTTCGGTAACAGACACTAGTATCCGACCAAACCAGGACGACTTGTTACTGCGATGAACGAGTCGCCTTCGCCGCTGACCTGACCGTTGAATGACAAGGGGTTCATTGTTCTTGACGCAGTTTCCTCTTTTGGGTGATTGATCCAACTTAGAGTCGCAATGGCGCAGGTAATGTGACACTTCATTGGAACTCAAGCCAGATTGATCGTCGTTGTATTGTCGGGATAGTTCCTGGAGGAGATTTGAAGTAAAGACTGCCGCCTCATTTTGCAAAGACAACTGTATCATTTCGCGAGCCTTTTCCATGATTGCAGTCATGTTGTTGGCATTTTCATGGAGCAGAGTCTCTATTACTGTTTCTTGAGTCATATGTGACCGATCAACCTTTAGAGACAAAGTTGACATCATTGTGGAAAGGTTGTCAGCCGCAGATTCTAACCTACTCAAACTATTGCGGGACTCAATACGAATCTGGGAAAGGTCTCGGCTTTAAAGTTGGTTAGCACGAAAGCGTGCGGTTCTTCTGTAAGAAGTCATACTCACGATAGACCTATCATGAGGCTGACAATCAGCTCATTCTTCAGCAGCACTAGCCGTGCCTGTAAAGCCTCGATTTCACCGTTTTTCAATATACTTCGTATTGCAAGCCTAATGCTTTTCCACGTATGGCCTTTTGTATTTTTCTTCAATCCCTGGAGGATCCCCAGGAGTCGCGTAGATATTGCCCTACAAGCATTGCATATTGAGGCCAGCTCCTGACTCGGGGGCATTTCACTGTCAAGTTGTTTAATCAGAGTCGCGAAATGATTCGTTACCAGCTCTGTGTCTACATTGTCGTCCAGGGTTCCAGTGACCGAGCTGTATAGTTCCGTGGTTTTTGAAATTAAATTGGCGCTGAAGTCGAGAAGTTGCGCTATGGTGCCTGTGAGGCCAATTATCGCAAGGGCTTCCATGGCGATTATTAGTCGTAGTAGGCAGACGCAATTTATTAAATTCTGATACAATTCTGAAGGTCTTTGATTAAACAATAAAGAGAGGAGGAGGGCAAGAAGAAAAGAAACGTATATATGCTACTAGAGTAGCAAAAGTCAGCCTTAGGCTGACTTGGATTTAACACCGCCTTGATTTTCAACCCCCACGACTTACTTTACTCACAGTCCTAAACATTCTGGCAGGAAATTCAGTACTAGCCGAAGTTTAACCAAAGATGCCACCTTAAGACCCTTAAATATAATCAAATAGAGTAATTAAACTAATTAAACTAATCATTTACTTATTAAGTTATTGTATTCTGAAATTTTAATATAAACTTGCTGTTAGTAAATACCAGGTAGAATTCTATACCTCACCTGATTCTTATACTCATCCCAATCCTTACCATACTTCTCAATGCAAGCCGCATCATCTCTCCTCTCCCGATGAATAAGCAGGAACCCAAACCAAGCTGAGTAAAAGTACGTAAACAGCATACCCCAAGGTGCAGCGCCATCGGGAGTCACCAAGCGACCATCCAGCATCTTGACAACCTCGTTTCCAGCTACAGCACTACCCGCTGGCAGAATAACATAACCAGCGAACTTGGTCGGCAGCGAGAAAGGAAGAGACTGAAGCCAATCACCAAAGTAGTTGATGTGACGGGCCATTCCCCACCATCCGCCTGTCAAAAGCTTGGTTCCACGCTTGGTCTGGATGAAGGTCATGTTTGTAAAGGCAGGGTGGTTGGGATCCTTGCGGAAGAGAGCCTTTTGGTTGTTGGAGGATCGGAAGATGTACAGCCCGATGGCAAAGACTGTGGCGATAGCGGACACACCGATAGGTCCCAGGTGAACGGGGTAGACAGAGAGGTAGCGGCACTGAGTCGAGTAGAGGAAAGGGACCCAGACCATGTTACCCCAAACAAGCATGAATCCAAGACCATCTTGGGTGATATCCATCATACCCAATAGTCCAAGCTCTGAGTACTGACCCTCAAGCACGTAGTAAGCTTGGACCGTAGCGATGACCAAGATGCTATCAGAAACATAGCCATAGTTGCGATACTGCTGAGCGATGAAAGCGCAGTTTAACAAGATCCAGCCTGTAAGAGCAGTGCGCATTTCCAACCAAGACTTGATGTCGATCTCGCCGAAGATGGGAAGCGTGACGCGAGGGTTGAGTTCACGGCCGATGAAGAAGTCGTAAATGATGCGGCCAGTGTGTCCACCTCTAGCGAGCTCGCGCAGCTGGGGATTGCCCTTCTTGACGGAGAAACTGCCGATGTAGACGTAGAGTGAGACGATAAAGGTTAGGACGGTGCTTGTGGTGAGGAGTTGGAGATAGTTGGTGGTCATGAAGGTCCAGACGGGGAATTCAGCGCCGTAGATGTAAGTTCCAACAGCGCATGCAGCCAATTGCGCAACGCTTGAGGAAAAGGCTACAGTTCTGTCAGTTTCACTGCCCAAGCGGTGCGATCAAAACAAAACCTACAATTGAAGCGATACTTCAGCGCCTTACCCGACTCCCTCAACTTCGTACCATAAACCTCCTGCGCCGGCAAAACGCGATACAGCACCAGACTCAGAAAATAATAAGCAAAAAGCCACCCTGTGACCTCCCAGCTCATTAATCCCCAGATACCCTCCTTTGGCCAGGGCGTTTGCTCCTTGAATTTCTGCCACGTCAATGTTTTGGGTTCAAGAAGAGCTGGCGCGGGACATCCTGAAACGTCGTTGCAGCCGAGATAGAGAAGTTGCATGAGAACTGGAAGACCAAAGACGATGCCTGTGGCGCCGATGCTATTGGGAGTTAGTGGTGAAGCGGAACGGAAAGGGATGGTGCTTACGGGCCGCCGAATTCGTATTCTGGTGTTTTTGGGGCCTTCATATTGAGGGGGAGGCTGAAGGACAACCGAGTGAGATGAGCGAGCGAGTATAATGAGAGTGTTGATTTTGGGCTTGTGATGAATGAACGAGAGTGACGATGTTGATGCTTTTATTGATGTAGAAATGCCATCAATTGATATCGACCCATTCTCAAGTCAACGGAAGAGCTCAACCCGGCCCACAACGATTAAAGATATCCGAAACATGTCATCTGTGATTGGACGATAAACTGGCCTAGTGGGGAACAATTCCTCTTCTCATACGAATACGGACGCGAAAGAGACTCAAAAATAACACGGACATATCTCACTATAAACCTACACTAACAATCTATCAATATTGTCAACTTCGGAGCCCGAGGATGCCTTGAGCTTCTGCACCTCCCCCAAAAACAGTGGATCAACTTCATGCCTTAAAAAATTGCCGAGCCCAATCAAAACATTACATTTGCAATTGACTTTCTACCGTTCCATTCTCCCCCCACGACTTTTACAGGGTTTTCTTCCCCAAGATCTCATTGATCTCATCAAGGTGCTCGGAAAAGTTATCGACCAAGTTATCCCACATCTTGGGCTCGTGCTCGTGCTTCTTATCGCTGTACCACGCCCAGTCCGTGATGGTCAGTTGTCTGCAGCTCTCGAACATGAAAGCCACTGCGCCCTTGGAGATTTGCATCTGCGGTGGGGGCTGCGCTGACGCTGCTTTGAATTCCTTTTGTATGTTAGTATTTGAAAGTGGTGGAGGGTGATGAGGGAACGTACTTCGTAGGCTACACCGTGAGGAACCCAGCCGCACTCAAACGACACACCACCAGGCTGAAACTCATCAGACCGTCCAGCGTACTCTCCATAAATCAGCCCCATTAGCTCAGACGCTGCGTTGCGATGATAATACGGTGGTCGGTATGTATGCGACGCGACGTCCCAGCGAGGTGAAAAGATGAGAAAGTCCGCCAGCGGAGCATTCGCATCTCGCGAAGCAGCCGTCAAAACGCAAAAGATAGACGGGTCAATATGATCAACAGAGATAGATCCAACGTTGACAAACTTGGTGAGATCATACTTGTAAGGCGCGTAGTTCCCATGCCAAGCGACAACGTCAAACGGGCAGTGGTTCTGCGTGCTCTTGAAGAAGCGTCCGCCAAGCTTATACACGATCTCCCACGGATCATCACGCGTAACAGTGTAATTAGCCTTGGGGTACAAAAAGTCCCTCGCGTTAGCAAGACCATTTGAACCCAGGGGACCAAGCTCAGGAAGTTCAAAGTGCGAGCCCCAGACTTCGAGGATATAGCCCCTAGTCGGACCTTCAACAGCGACTTTGAAGCGTTGACCGCGCTGGATGACGCAGATCTCACCGGGCTGGACGTAAAGATTGCCGAATTCAGTCTGGATGTCAAGATTGCCTTGCTGAGCGATGATGAGAAAGTCGCCGTCGGAGTTTACGAAGGCGCGCTTTTCCATGCTCTTTGTGGCGGAGAAGATGTGTGTTGCGAGACCTTCGCGGAGGGTAGGGTCGCCTGGGGGATGTTAGAGGTTAAAGGCGAGGAGGGGTGAGGGGGAAGTACCTGAGCCGGCGATTGTGCGGAGGCCAGAGACGAAGTCGGTGCCGTCGGAGATGTCAAAAGGGAGCTTGGGGTGTTAGCCGATGGTAGTAGAGTTGGGTTGTTGGTTCACGTACCCAGGCTAATTGAGTTGGTGAGATTCTGACGGCAGGGTTCAGAGGTAGAAAGCAGCTCTCTGTCCCTTCAACCTTGGGCATATCCGTCTACCTACGTCAGCAAAGAAATCTCCCATGAGTTGTGACACTTACGAATCCCTGGTGAGCAACAGCAGGTCTCGCTCGGTACAGCCACGAATTCTTATTAGCCTGGCGAGAAGCACCAAACGACGTGGTCATCTGCTCAGCATAAAGCCCAAACCTAACACATCGCGGACTATTCTGTCCCTGGGGAATAGTCCCAGGAATAGCCTCTGATTCATGGTGGTTGTTGAAGCCAGAGAGGTACGTATACGGATCATTCTTTCGAGTCGCAAAGGACGGAATACTTCCATCCTTCTGGGTCTCAGCCCAGTGAAAGATGTTTTGATAATCCTCTGCTGGTGCCATGATGGAGACTGATAAAAGAGGTGAGCAGTGGTTGATGCTGAACTTATAGTCACCGCGAAGAGCGTAGAGGTGAAGGAGATCCGGGAATGGCGGAAACGGTTGAGGCTGTGTTTATATAAATCAGTTGACAAGGTGCACTTGCCGACGATAAGAATGAAATTCACCCCGCTCCTTGGCTACCCCATCGGCGGCAGTCGGCCCGAGGCTTAGCTAGCGTTAGGTTCACAATAGCCAGGAAATAAGTGGGAATTTGGGATCCACGATCTACGTAATCTATGCTTACTATTCGATCAGTCAGACGAACTTTATGGTTGCAAGGTGGAGACGTCGGATATAGCTGTGTTAAGTTGGGGGTCAGTTGAGGGTGTGCCGGAAATACAGAATGTTGATACATCACTTTTATAGGATGGCTTCGATGATATTGTCCGTTGTTTTGATGTCAGCTGATGCCAAGCCACAATTCTTCGTATCAAGTGACTGCTTTAGTCGGATGCATACCGCCGATGGAAATCATCGTCAGCTTCACTTAATGACTGTTCACTCGCCTGCAGGATCTAATAAATATTGCCCGGACCGCAGGATGTTAATACATCAGTTTCTTAGGGCGGCTGTCATAATGGTGCCTGCTATTCAGGGTCAGATAAATCTAGTTCCATCTATATCCCAAGAGTTTATATCTAAAGTCGCTTTAATCATCATCATAGTGCCCAGTAAGAAAATCATAATGCGTGCTCAACGACATCTCACTCGCCTCCAGAATCCAATACCCAGCACCAGGACTCTCCAAATGATACGGAGGCTTCGGGTAGCTATCAACATAAGGTAGCTGTATGACATCAAGCCCGCCCCCATACCCATCCTTATCTCCCTCGGCATTGCCAAGCGTACGCCAGAACTGGCTGTACGTGATCTGTCTGCCTGTCGTTGCGCTTCGCATCTGACCCCACGAGATACGCGAGAACCACTCCATGGGGATAGCGAAAGCGCACTCTTTGGTTGTTCGCGCCAGGGTATCGAATGATGCGATTAGCTCATCTGGGTCGGGATCGCGGATACCCGCGCCGCACCATTCTATTGAGATATAGAGACGCTTGAGATTTGGGAACCGAGCGGGAAGAATGAGGTTGGTGACATCCTCGAGGACGTTGTCTTTAGTGATCGGGGCTTTGATCTCGAGGGAGGTGATCTTGGTGAGATGGTGGTGGGGTTTAAGCGATGGAAGTTCAGTAATTGTTGCTTCGCCGGAGATAATGATGGTGTTTGTAGAGTACAGAACATCAATTGTCTCTGCGTAGCTGCCCGCAACGTCAATCAGTGCTCATTAGTAGGTAGATAGATGCTGACGTACTTTTGCCGACAGGACTGCAGCCAACCCATTATCCTGATGTTCTGAGGCGGTGGCTTTGGGACATTGACCGCATCGCAGCAGCGATCAATCCAGGGCCCTGGGTTAAGGCCACCGCGTGTCATAGGACCCAGCTCTGGATCATGCTTTCGAGCGCAGATACATCCATTCCACGACCAGAGTTTTCTTCTTAGGCCTGGAGCATCTGGGTCACCTAGCTCATATCCATCAAGGTCATCTGGATCCTCTGGGGTACGACGAGCAGCATCAAAAGCGAGATGCATATGGAGACGCCTATCCCCAAACGCCAAGCGAAGAATATCGCGTCTCAGATTAGCAGGGACTCTGAACCAGAGCGATTGTTGAAACGCTGCAGCTGGTCGCTGTAGACTCTTTTCATCATTTTCATCGCTGAACCCAGGCGGCGTAAGTGCACGAGGTCGTGTGGATGGTAGCTTTGGGATAAGATGTCTCCAGTCTTGCCAGTCGCGATCATATACTCCCCAATCTGGCGAAATCGGTGGACTTGGTGCTATTAATTATTAGCATATGTGTGATTACTGAAGTGGTGGGAAGCATACAGTGTGAGCCTGGTGAGTTGCCTCCACTAAAGGAAAAGTCTGGTGAGGGGAAATCGACGGGGGTTGGTGTTGGACTTGAAGGTGCCATGTTGGAGTGAGATGTTGAGAATGAGTGAGTGAGAAAGGTAGGCGAATGAGATTAATTTGCTTGAGGTCACGTGAGAGATGGGATTCTTTCCGATTCCAATTTACCAAGAGACAGAATCTGCCTGGCTAGTATAATAAGAGAAGAAATTAAATTTTATAAAATTAATCTACTACATTATATTAAATTATTATATGCTCTATTAGTATATTTAAGCTTAGATATATACCTAAATATTACTATAGGCTAGTAGTGATTTAATTAAATATTTATCGTTACTGTTATATCCTGTAAGTTGTTATACAGGGTCTGTAAAGATATAATACAGGTAAGATTTACTTAATCTTCTTAATAACCAATAGAAAAGTAAGCGAAGTGCTTATATATTAACAGGATTAGGAATAGTCTCGGTCTGAGAGGTCCGGACAATAAACAAGGCTTGTATCCCAGACACTTTAGCAGAGAATTTAGTTCCGTTCCTAAAGAGGCTAGAATTCAACTTAAACACTGAGCTCCCGTTCCCAAAGAGGCATAGCAGGATGTTTCCCGCCTAACAATAATACACCGACTGAGGGGCTTGCTTACCGCAGTGCTGCTCAACCTCAAACTTGTAACAATCGCAGCGGCTCTTTTATTGCCTATCTGTCTGTTGGTTGGTGGAGTAACTAACTCTAAACTCTATTAGTTCGGCCCGATCGGGCTGTCCCTTGCAAATAATGGTAAGATCTCGTGTTCCTCCATTGAGTCTTGTATATATTACGTGTTTCAGGTAGCATTTCTACATCATACTCTACTGATTTATAAGTGTGTTTCCAATTTGGGTCCGGATGAGTCGGGAGCAGGTGTTTTAAGTACTTGGAGTTCATTTCTTCGTTATGTAGCAACTGAAATTCATATATAAAACTTCCATCTAGCTGTCTTGATGTCTATTTCTCTACAGCAAATGCTCTCATTTAAGCAAGATAGAAGACTGTTTATCTTGATCTCTCGTCTGTAACAAAATGCAGCTCACCAGCCTCCTCACTATCATATCCCTCGTCTCTGCTTCTTTCGCAGCTCCCGGTGACCGTGGCAGTTACACTGTTTCTGGCCTCGGTACCCGCAAGCAGGCTATCTTGAGTGCTGGTGGCAACACCCTTGATTTGGCCATTGCCATGCTTGAGGATGAACACATGTCAACTAACTACAAGTATGGTGAGTGAACCCAGCTGCAGAGATATATCTACCGACGGGCATATTAAGACCTAAATTTACAGGCGACGGTAAGACTCTCGATGCGGCCAACTTTGGCGTTTTCAAGGTCAACTGGGGAATGCTTCGTGTCTGCGCCAAGCGAGCTGGATTCGTAGGACAGTCCGAAAGTCAGTGGAATAACGGTGCAAAGCTCAAGTAAGTGCTGTTGTAATAGGCATGTGTCACATTTACCAGCTGACTGGCTACTCACTTCACTCACAGCTCTGATATCTACGCTGATGTTGCCTCCCGTTGGGATTGCCAGGAATATTACGGTTACGATAAGTGGTTTGCCGGTCACCGTAACGGCGCGACTGGCTTGTCAAACCCCAATACGGAGGATATTCGATTCTACCGCGAGTCTGTTGAGTGGATCCAGACACAAATTGAATCAAAGTCTACCTACAAGACTGATGACACTCGCTTTTGGGTTGATGTCACCCCTATCTAAGTCAGAGGCATAAGCCTGTTGTCGGGCGTCGTAGCTGTGAGGACGGGGTCTATAGGGGGTCTGATTGGCTGCGAGCCAATTCAACAGGCTGATTACAGGGGGGTGCGGGATAGGTTCCTTTCAAGTATTTACTCTATTTCAGACATCAAGCGATCCTATAAAGGATCGCAGTTAAATCATATTTTCACTGTTATCTGGCACGGAAGCGAGGAAATCATTCCTATTTCAGATTTCTGACTTTTTCGGGGCAATGATACTGCCCGGATACCAATCGTTGTATCCGAGCCGAAAAGGGTTGGAATTTAGATGGCTTGAGAGTCTCCGCTTCTCATTGCTGCGCATGTTCTCGCTCACACTAGGGGTCGCCGGGAAACGAGCTTCCGAGTGATCAGAATTCCGGAGGCTGCTCCTCGTAGCGCATCAATATGGAGTACTCTGTACAGTGAGATCGTGTAATTGAGCGCACTGGAGAATTCCCAGACTATGTACGCCAGAAAGTCTTCCACGGGGAATCAACTCATGAGTTATTCGGGCTTCATTGACTCCAGCCTTTCCCCCAATTGCGTCGTCAGGTGAATGAATAATGACCTGACAGTGATTTGCCGCAACTGTGCAGCCGAGCCAATGAACAAGTAACCAGCTTGTGAATTGGTGATCCTTAGTTTGTATAGCGGCTCCATGCTCGAGTCGGATGTTTTTGCCTGAAGTAATACTACTTTAAAACTTTAGATCATCTTATACTACTATTGATATAATAATTATATTCTACCCAGCTTATCTCACTACATTGCAGTAATTAAGGATTCAAGCCCAACTTGTTTCTAAGGCGGGTAAAGTCTTGAGCATCACCATTCTTAGACCAGTCAAATTGATCCAGGTACCTAAGAGTTCCGTTAGAAATGGTAACGTTTTTCGCATCAGTTAATTGACTTACATCATGAAAGAAAAGAGTGCCAACGAGTCAGCGTTCTTGGTAGCCAGCTTAGGACCAGAATAAGGGTTTGTGTTGCCATTCTTGTCTTTATAAGTACGTGCCAAGTTCATGATCCAACGAAGACCATCTATACCTAATTAGCATGTTTCGCCCAATTGCCGTTGCTGAACTTACACGCTCCCTGCTTTCTTTGTCCCTTCTGATTGAGTTCTTGCTGCGAGGGAGGACGGGTGTAGTATTCGACCTGGTTGTTCTTGTCCTTGTATCTCAAGTAGCCCTTCTCGCTAACAGCGACTTGGTCCTTGATGACTGCATTGTGTTAGATCTGCTAGACCATAGAACGCGACGAGAAACTTACGGTGCTTCAAGTTGGAGTCAACACCACCGAACCAATGCATGAGCTCGTGGTAAAGCTGGGTAGGGTTGGACACCCAATTCGTCATGATATGGTCACCCAGCGCAGCAGAGGTCTTGTACTGTCTCGGCGTGATGCGCGCCTTTCCAGCATCAGACGTCATCTTGGGACAGATGATGACAATATCATCGCTCGACGAGATCAAAGCCTCTCGGTTGCCAATACAGTGTCCGACAGAGGCTACCTTGGTCTGTCTGAAGTCCCAACGGTTGGCGTAGTAAAACGCCCCGGCTATTGTGCCGCCGTTTTGGATGTAGCGGCTCACAGCTGGTTGGTCTCTGACCTTGCCTACACCAGGCTCTGGCTCGTCATCGACGTCGTACCACTGGAAGACATCGTCGCCGCAGACCATCAATGGCTTGGCGTTGGGCTTTTGAGAGAGAATTGGGCTGAAACCCTTGGCGGGGTTGTTCTGAGATGAGGGAAGAGTGTTGGCCGTTTTAGCAAAGATGTCTTTTGACTGTCAGCAAAGCAAGTTTGTCAAGAAGAGTTCAACATACCTCGCAAATCCTCAATGTACTTCTGAGTCTCAGCATCATGGCCCTTGTAGTTAGGCATGAGTCCAAAGATGCTATTAGCAGCCGATGAAATACGCGCCCACTTAACTGCACCGTCGGGATCAGAGTTTCGGTCCGGCATCTTCGCAAGGAGAAACTCGAGACTGGTTCTAGCAGCATCAGCCAGATCAATTGACTGCGTGAGAGCATCCTTGATGTCGTTCTCGAAGCCATTACAGCTTGGGTCAATCTCCCAAGGATCCAGTGATGCATCGACTGCGAGTGCAGAGCTGGAAAGACCAGCGGCCAGCAAAAAGCTGGATAAACGCATAATGGGCAAAAGAATTACGGTACCGTAAAGATCGACTGTTGAAACGAGTGACTGCGTCTGGGAAACGCGAAAAGGAGCGAACGACTGAAGGGCAGAAAACCAAAACGAATGGAGCTTGATAATGGATGTATGTATATTACATTTTACTGAAATTGTAGATAGCGTCTCATCCTTGAGTGTTTGTCTCCATGCAGCCCCTGCAGTAAATTGGCATAAGCCGAGCCTCCACTATCCAAGATGACACCCCCACAAATCAGCCCTGAGGGTTTCATCCTTTGATCCTACGCTGATTGACGAGTCTCAGAGACATCACTAAAAATGAACAGACCATTGAGCATCGGCGCGGCCGGACGATGAGTTATCTCCTCGAATTTGATATGAAACTCCACAGTAGATTGGTGATAAAGGCACTATTGATGGACGGAGAATAAGACTCTCCACATTCCGTGCCGTTATGCATTTCGCTTGTTGCCGATCTTTTGGCTGTGCCTCACAAGGCAATTGTCGGGAGATATTTTCGCATACTTAGCAAGATATGAGATGTGTGCTGAAGTTTTAGGGTGCGCCACAGTGAGCGAAGGATTTACGGTTATCTGACATTATCTACGTAGCGCAAATGAATGCACTCCGCGACCATTGGAACAGTATAGAAAATTGTGCAAACCGTCAAATTGGTAGAAGTCTCAATTAATACGCATGACTTGACCAATATTCATTGACCGGGTAGGAAGATAGGCAAAGCCGCAAGGGATCACACTCTCCGACGGATCAACATGAGCGCTCCATCTTATCATCTCCATAACAGCCAAGCCGTACAACATCCAATAAGCATAACATTACTCCGAGATGAAATTCTCAATGCAACATCAATATCGACGATCAGCTTTGCCTTACCAGGTTCCAGATCCAACTCAATTTCACCGAGTCCTTCCCGTTGCATTCTCAATGCACGGCCCCAAATCTCCTAACAAGGCTGAGCATCAGCAGCTCCACAGCGTTTCACCTAAGTTAATGAAGCTGACTTGTTTCAAGGATCTCAAAATTAAGCTCCACTGTCAGCCATGACGGGTATATCCTCACGGTATGTTTATCCCATGAAAAGGCATCCCGAGCCTCTACTTTACACTTGCTCTTTTGTTTTACGGACACTCTTTCATTCGTTTGTCTTGGACTATACGCATTCATTCGTTTATGCTGGTATAGCCGTTCACTCTTTTATTTCCACATTCTCTACAATAATGCAGCAACCTTGGAAGTTGCGCGTACTTGCGCTATGTCTTGCGACGTCGCTGTCGGGTGTTTCTGCGCAGGACTTTTCTACAACGACAGGTACTGAGACCTCAACGGACTTGGGATTCGTGGAGCCTTCAACCGAGGTTGCTCTACCTGAGACAACTTCTTCAGAGGCGTTCATTGACCAATCTCCCTCGTCTGCTACCTCTGAAGCGCAAGTGGAGGTTCCTACTACTTCTGTGGATGAGGAGACAACTCAGATCAATGTTGTTCCTGCTTCAAGCAATGAGAGCAGTCAGGCTGTAGAGCCTACAACAAACATTGGTCCTCCAGCTGGAACGACAGAGTCTACTGGTGCTGGTGTTGAGACATCTTCTCACCCCGAGCAGTTGCCTGATACTGCAACCACCGACAACAACATCCCCATTAACACCGCCACTGGCCATCCAGTGTTTCCTAATCCCAACACCCAAAAGACTGAGCCTGGGACACAGCCCACTGACGCTGCTTCTGTGGATCAGACCTCAACAGAACTTACTGGTGCTCCTTCTGAGGCCACTACCGTCGCCACCGATGCCCAGCCCCCTATTGTCTCTACTGAGTCAGCTGAGGCCGTCGAGCCTACAACCGAGACTGCTGAGCCTACAAGCCAGGCCGCTGAGCCTACCACTCAACTCCCTCTCCCCGAGGCCACCACTGAGACCTCTGCGGCTGCTCAACTTACAACTGAAAAGGCCCCTGAGGTGTCAACTGGCTCTGCTGCTGCTCCCGTCATCGAGTCTACTACCGAGGTGAAGGCCCCTGAGGTTTCCACTTCTGACGAGGCTCAAGCGCCTGTCGAGTCCACCACCGACAAGGCTGAGCCTACGACTGAAGAGAAGCCGGAACCCGAGCCTACCACAGATTCCAAGGACGCTGAGAAGCCTACCACCCAGGCTCCTGGTCCCAAGCCCACGACTGAGGATGCTGGCTCAAACGAGCCAACCACCAAGAACGAACCTGGCCAGACCGGTGCTCCTAACGAGCCTGAGAAGACCACTGCCCCTCCGAACCCTACCACCACCGAGGACGGCATCGTCACTGGTTCCAACGGCGCTGTAGTGACTTATGTCCCTGAGCAGGACAAGGACTTCTCTGACTTTACTGGTACCACCACCACCACTGACGATGGTGGTGCTGCTATCGTGATCTTCCCTGGTGGTTGGTTCTGGAAGCCCTCAGGTAACCTCCCCGCTGGCATCCTGCCTCCTCCTCCTGGCACCAACCCTGCTGGAGCTGGCAGTGGTACTCCTGGTGGCGGTGGCGAGGGAGAAGGTGAGGACGACAAGAACGAGACGAAGAAGGAGGATGACGAGCAGTCCACGAAGGAGGAGGAGAAGTCAACTGCTGAGCCCTCCACTGCCGAGACTACTGCTAAGACTACTGAGGCTACCACTACTACTGAGGCTTGCGCCGCCGTTGAGGTCGAGGACTGTACCAGGACCATCTCTTACTACACCACTGATGGAACCGTCACTCACACTGAGTTTGGTGACTGTCCTACCGTCGCCAGCTGCGCAACTGGTACCCAAGCCACCTCCACCGAGACCGTGTCTGCTGAGGCGGAAGAAGGTGAGGAGCTCGAATTCGAAGAGCTGGAGAGCGATATTCCTGATGACTTTGACTCTGAGCCTGACGAGGAGACCGTCGAAGCCCTTGAGGATGCTTTGGATGAGGGCCTTGGTGCTGGAGCGACCACCACTGAGGAGCCTATCGCTTCGTCTACTGGTACTGACACCACTGGCGAGGCTACTTCCACCGAAGCTGGGACTACCAGTGATACCAAGATTGAGGAGACTTCTTCAGAGGCTACGACTGAGCGAACCACTACTATCCCCAGCACTCTCATCACCACTACCCGCAACACCGAGTCCTCCAACGAGTCTTCCGATACGACTACTGATGGCACTACAACCCAGCTCACCTCCTCTGACATGATCACCTCCACCACTGCCACAACCACGATGCGCACTTACTACCCCTGCGTTCCCCACGGCGGCCCTCGCGTCGAGACTCCCTACTGTAACTGCGAGACAACCAGCGACGGCGAACAATACGTCGTCACAGCGCCCATGATCTCAGGTCAGTGCGCAGACTACACCGAGTTCCCCATGAGCTTGTACACCACTCCTCCCCCTGCGCCTGAGCCCACTGTCTTCAAGGAGCCCTTTACTCGCACCGACGCTGGTACTGTTCTCGTTTACGAGTCTTACTCGCTTAGCTACTTCGCCGTCAACACCATCAAAGTCACTGCCACTGTCGGTCTCGGCGAAGCATCTACTGTGTCAACACCTCTCCCCATCGCTACGAACTGGAACGGCGATGGATCGAGTATCTGCAGCAGTGGTGATAAGAATGTTCGCAACGCTGTCGCTGGTGCTTGCGAAGCTGCATTGAATAAGTTTGAGGATGATACTTTGTATACTGACTATGTTTCGCGATATGAGCGCATGGGAAGTATTCTCAAGGTGCTCACGTTTGGAAAGGCTGGTTGCACGGTGCAGTTCTCTTGTGATGACTATGGTATTGGAATGAAGGGCAAGGATATCAAGGATCTGTAAGTTGACATGATTCACCCATGAAAGATATATGCTAACTTTGTGATAGCCGCCGACAGCAAGATGGTTTGACACGTTGTGGCAACATTGACTTGTCCAACTCGTGCAAGATTCACATTGACTACTGTACTGAGTGTCACCATGATGGCTAGGAAGATATATACTATATAATTGTATGAATAGAAAGATTTATCTCCTTGTGACTCGTTAAGCAGACAACTCGACCCCCGAAGCTATTAAGGCGACGCGTCAAGACAGTTTATAATTGTCCACTCCTAGGTCAGTAGAGTGAAGAAACTGCCCCGGAGACTTGGCAGATCGAGAGTTGCTGAATTACCACCACGAGCATTACACATTATGCTGCACAGAACTGAATATCTCCCAATCCTGAGGGATTGACCTTGGCCTGACAATGAATCATCATTAGGGAGTGGGGACAGGTAGATTTATGGTCTTGTTTCTTAGAGAGGACGACACAAAGCGTTGGTGATTTATTATCGAGTGGTATGCCATGCCTTATTGGGTTATATTTGCAATGGCTTATTTACCAACCCTATTATGCATTCAATAGAAGTTTGAAGTATTCAATCTCGATACTGATTATATTATAGATACTTTTACCTATGCTATTCTCAAAATGCTCACCGAACCATTAACTTGATCCACTGCCTTATGACTTATTGAAGGCCCTACAGGCTATTGCGTTCTTGCATGCCTATTGGTCTGTTCCTGGAATCTTGTACAACCAACAGCCGCCGGCTTGGGCACTCATGCATATGGAGCAATTAACCGAGGCTTATGCGTTCACTCGCACTTATGCTGACGAAGACCTGGTTTAGCAGGGAGCCTGCATTATTACAATTAGGCACCAATGCTGCCATGACCAGGGGTTTGAAAATGAGGCTGCGATTACGGAGAGAATTCATGAAGACTAGCATATTATCTCTCTAGCATTCTAAAGTTAAAGGTACTACTACTCTATTCAAAACTGTTTATTTACATTGCTACTCCTAGACACATTCAATCGCTCCAAAGCAACTTTTGTATGATGTCCGAGATAACGGAAATCCATTTCACGCATAATGACTATACTGTGGCCTGGATTTGTGCTTTACCAACGGAGCAGACAGCAGCGATCCTGATGCTTGACAAAGAGCACTCTAGCCTGCCAAGCCAGTGCGAAGACCCGAATACCTACACCCTTGGTTCTGTTGGAAACCACAACGTGGTCATCGCGTGCCTGCCCCTTGGGCAGACAGGTAACGATCCAGCAGCTTCCGTCGTGATGGCGCTGATGATGTCATTCCCTGCCGTTCGATTTGGCCTAATGGTCGGTATCGGTGGTGGGGGCCTGTCATCTAAGGTTCGCCTTGGAGACGTGGTTGTCAGTAAACCAGTGGATGACTTACCTGGTGTTATCCAGTGGGACAAGGGCAGGGCTGAACAGAGCGGAAGTTTCCGGAGAACCGGCTCCCTAAACAACCCGCCGCGGGTGCTGTTAACGGCTTTGACGAAGCTTATAAGCCACCATGATAGAAATGGTAATGGAATACAACTTGCCCTGGAAAATGTGAGGGCCACAAATCCGAAACTCAGCAAAAGTTACACGGGTCGCGATGGTCTCAAGGATATCAAGTTTGATGTGGACTATCCACATCAAGAACGCCCAGCAGATGATAGCGCCTCTGAATTGACTGATGAAGAGGAAGATGCTTGTCGATTCTGTGATAAATCCAGAGCCGTCGAGAAAAAGCCCCGGGAGACAAAAATACACTATGGACTAATTGCTTCAGGAAATAAAGTCGTCAAAGACTCGGTTTTACGCAATAGCTTCAGAAAGGAATTTGGCAACAAGCTTCTGTGTTTTGAGATGGAGGCCGCAGGGATTATGAATAGCTTGCCTTGCCTCGTAATTCGGGGTATATGCGACTATGCAGACTCTCATAAATCAGATGGCTGGCAAAAGTATGCTGCAATGGTAGCTGCGATATTCGCAAAAGAACTTCTGCTAGTAGTACATGCTGAGGAGGTCAAACAAATGAAAGATGTCAAAGGTAAGCTTACCTATGAGCCCATGATCATTCCCACTTAAACCTAGTATATGCAAATTAAATTCAAGGTGTTTATTTGCAATAAAAACTAATCATTTATAGATTTACAAAAGACTATGGAAACAACGCAGCGTACAGTCCTTGAAGATAAATATCAAAAGATCCTTTCTTGGCTTCGTGAAGATGATCAAGGAAACCGCCTAAGTCAACATTTAGGGCAGAGGCAGGCGGGTACTGGACAGTGGCTCCTAGTATCACCTGAGTTCAACCAATGGCTAAAATACAAGCCGCAGATGCTTTTCTGCCGGGGGGCGCCAGGAGTTGGAAAAACAATTATAGCGTCTGTTGTGGTTGAGGAACTCACCAAACGTTACCAAGGGAATAATGAAATCGGAATTGCTTATGTGTTTTGTGAGTTCACAAACAACGAAGAACATCCCATCGAACCGATTCTGAGAGCTTTCATCAAGCAGCTGTCGCAAATTGGTCTGCCCTTTCCGGCAGCTGTTGAGAGTCTCTATCATCGGACTTTCTCACTTGGCAGGGTGCCAACAGTTGATGACCTTCTTGACACTTTGGTGTCTCTCTTAAATCTATACTCAAAGGTCTACATCATCATCGATGCCCTGGACGAGTTCTCGGTATCTGGAGGTCGTCGAACAAAGTTTATGAAAATCATTAACGACCTAAGGAATCAGCCGCGGCTGAACTTTCTTGTTACATCTAGATATATACCGGAAATCAGCGACAGCTTTTCGGATTACGTCGACTTGGCAGTCGAAACCGGCGATGAAGATATAGAGAAGTACCTCAATGGCTATCTTCCAAATCTCGATGGTGTTGTCGGCACAGACAAGGAATTGCAAAAAGAGGCAAAGTGTGCGATTATTAAGGCGGCAAGCGGAATGTATGAAAGACAACACTCTAAAAACAGGCCAAGCTAACAATTTCTCCAAGGTTTCTTCTCGCCAAGCTACAAGCAGAACAGCTAGGGGGCATGATAAATCCTAAACTCGCAAGGAGCAAATTCGAGCAATTCTGTCTCTCACCTGGATCATACGAAGAAGCCTATAAAGGCGCATTAGACAGAATCCGGGGTCAATCTGACCAACTCGCTGAGCTTGCAATACGAACTCTGTCATGGGTCACACATATGGAGAGATCGATCTCAATTCAAGAACTACAGATCGCTCTCGCTGTAGAAAAAGGCAACATGAACATCGACCCACACAACTTTACATCTGCCAAACTTATCATCACGTCTTGTGCAGGACTGATTATGCTAGACAACAGAAAATATGTTCAAATTGCTCACTATACTGCCCAAGAGTTTTTAAGGGGAGGCGGAGGCATTCGGCTTGGTTCACCACACCGAGAAATTGCGACGTCGTGTATCGCGTCACTTTGCTCCAACTACATTTGTATGTGTATGTTGTCATCATCGAAATTTTGCGTATCTCACAAGATTCCGAATGGTGTTATTGAGGAGGACTTCAAAAGTTGTGGAGTCGGAGATACGCCATTGTGTTCATTTTCTCGCTACGTCCGGTACCAATGGGTTCATCACGCAAGAAAGGCCTACACTGAAGTCAAGGAGCTGATTCTGGAAATTATCAAAGACGAGCAGAATTTTCACAAGCTCGCACGATATCTTAGAGACTATAGAGATTGGAGGACCCCTAAACTCTCAGCACTTCATCTAGCAGTGCATTGGAACTTCCCAGAACTCGTGAGCGATCTGATAAAGCTTGGGCATAATCCAGCATCGAAAGATGCCTATGGACGAACTCCGTTATCATGGGCAGCTGGAAAAGGGCTTGAGAATTTGGTTGTGATATTGCTTGCTGCCGACAGCACAGTCGCTAATGCAAGAAGTGAGGTTTTATGGGGAGAATGGGTATATGATTCTGGAAGAGACTACTGGGACATGGACCGTTACAGAGACCGTTACAGAGGCCCGAAGGGTTACAATGCCCTTAAATGGCAGAGAGATGTCAGCAAGCGTGGTGCGACGCCTCTGTGGTATGCCGCTTACGACGGCCATAGTGGCGTGGTCAGGAAGCTGCTCGCTGAACCTTCCGTTGACCCCAACCTAGCTGATGAAGCGTGGGGGGTAACTCCATTTCTGGCTGCTACAGCGTTAGGTCATGTTGGCGTGGTCAAGGCATTCATCGAGCACGACGGGGGGTCGCCCATGGAGGTCCGCGCAGCTAATATTATAGCTCCGCATGCAGCTGTGATATTCTGGCACCACAGGGTCCTCTCGCTCCTTCTGACCGAAGGCTGGGATCCGAACTCTCGCGATCCTGATGGGGAAACGCCTTTAAGGCTGGCCATACAGTTGAGTAACAACAAAGCAGTGAAGCTGTTGATGAATCAACCGGGCATTGAGAACGATGCTACAGGGAGAGATGGCATGCAGGCTTTTCATGGGGCTATGCATTCGAAAACTGGGGATTTTATTGAACCATCTTTGCCAAAACGGGCAATTTCTTGGCAAGTGTCCAATAGTTGGTTTGAAATTCATCTTTCATATTGGCAATGAGATTTCTCAAAGACATAGGTCGCGGGAGATTCTTTACAGATTGCGAGGCCATGTCCGAAACCCCACTGTTGTTGACCGCATTGAGGGGAGACGTGGATGCAGTGAGCCGGTTGCTTGATATTGGAACCGAACTAAAGGAAATGGATAGCAGTGGATCAACCGCTCTATCTCTGTCTTCATCAGAGGGGCATAATGGGGTAGTAGAGCTGCTTTTGAGGAGAGGGGCTGACCCAAACTTGAAAAATGCGTATGATAAGACCCCTCTGATATTAGCCGCTATGGGTGGCTATCGAGAAGTCGTGCAGACTCTGCTGCACTACGGCGCAGATAAAGATTGGGTAGATGAGGTAGGAGGCACAGCACGATCCTATGCTTGCATAAGGGGTGATACAATCATTACTGAGATTTTATCCAGAAGGAGGTTTAGGGAATCTGATGAAAGGAGAATGGCTTATGCACTTAAGCTCCATGCAAAAACTTTAGCTAGGTTGGGAAATTCGTAAATAATTCAAATAGGAATTGACTTTGCTAGTAATACTATAATAAGAAAAGCCATAGGAATAAGCCGGCTGTTCTCAATATCGTGATATCCCCTAGTGTCACTGCGCAAAAGATTAAATTCACCTTCTCACAATCTGGCAAGTAGAGCAAACCTAGAAGATTCCTATCTCGTGACATACGACTTAATTTGGAATATATCAAGACGCATGATATCTGACGTCTTGGTGTGCTACTACTGGAGATAGGCTTATGGCAAGCACGTAACGATGCGTTATAACGGCTGGACCTGGAAAAGTCGACTAGTTGGGTGGATGATCTTTTGAAGGTTGTGACAACACTGGCTTGTGGGGTTGGCCAGAGATATCAATGGATGGTGGCATGGTGTCTCGTTTTAGATGGCAAGACTATTGTAACAGAGTATAATCTCGTTCATCATGTCTTGAAACCATTAGAAGAAATTGTATATAGTATATCATGACAATTTATTTTCTTATATCAATTGCCAATGTTAGCCAAAGGTGTCAGGTGTCTTGTCTTTCAGGTTCTCAGGTTTTATTCTGCTTATACTTATTGAATGAGATTTATATAATTTCTAACGGGACCCAATTGTTGTCAGGATGAATGGCCTCCCCGTGCATAATACCATGAACATAAGTCTCGCCGATCAAACTGTACTGTTGACCCTTACTTCGCAAAACCAGCGGCGTGGGACATCCAGACACAACCCAGATCTCATCACCCACCATCGTAGATTCGAAAACACAAGCAAGATGAGCGCCTTCCGTCATCGCTGGCCGCCTGCCGAATAGAGTAGTGCTCAACAGGGAAAACATAAACACCAAGTTCTTTTTCTTTGATTCCATCCAAGCCATTCGTTGTTCCTGCGCCCATAGTGTATCGTCCCTGGTTACAGGTAGGAAGCCAAAGCCAGTACAGAACGAGGCTAGGTACCTCCTTGTGGGGAAGGGACTCTGTTTCGGATGTTTGGCTTCCAATGTATCCATGGCCTTCAGAGTCTGTAGAAAGGCCTTGACAGCATCGGTTCCCCCGGATTGGAACTCATCGCTGATTCTTTTGGCCATCATCATGAGTACCATATCTTGAAAATGCTTGGTCGTGGGAAGTCTGGCTGGGCGGTCGGATAAGTCCTGATCAAACACCAATGTTCGCCAGAATGCCTCCGCGAAGGGCTGGTTCGTGAAGGGGTATGTCTCTTCTGCGTCGACTAGCATCGAAGCGCACTGAGCGAAGTCACCACCGGAAACCATCGGTTTCAAAGACTCACCCATGGCTTTGACGCGGCCCAGAAGAAAGCCGCGAGCATGCAGGACCTTGTCTTCTGAATGGAAGTCGACACCATAGCTGGCTGTGTCTATAGATCTCGACGCATCGAACTTACCCAGAGACTTGAAGTTTGGTCCAGCCATTGGGTTCAACGCCATTCTCGGGGGATAATCTGGGACCCAGGATGGTAAGCCTGTGGTCTCACGTAGAGCTGGGTCCTTGACAACACCCAGAAGAGCCAAACTCCCAGTCGCCTCCAGAATCTCCGTCGCCGCATTGTAGAGCACAGTGGCTGTATCGAGATGATAATTCGGTTGGAGCCTGTGGGGAATGCTGTCGAGACCGTGAATGCTGACAACGTGACTGATTATACCAGCCAGTCCGTATATAGTATCGCGACGGTCTCCGCAGTCGAAACCGACCAGCCACATAAGCAGCTTGAGAAGAACAACACCGACTATACTCTCCTTTCTTGGACCGGCAGCCACAGTATTCTCGACAATACCAGCTGTAAAGTCGACCAAAGGCAAAACATCCCTCCACTCACTGCGATCGCCTTTACACCATTCACGGACTACTTGAGTCCTCCCAGTCTGCATGAGGTGCATATCTTCCAACAAACGCATGTCTTTTCCACCCGCGACCAGTAGGTTGCCGACTGCCACAAGCAGACCACTCAGGTGCAAGAATAATGCTGTAGACCCGATTTTGTCAAACGGGATGCTCATTTCATTACATATGATATCGATCTGTCCAGCTAGGGCCACTTCTTGAATCACCCATTGTCTCGCAAACCAGCGGCAACTGAAGAGGGTAACTAGGGCATCCGCCTGGTCAAAGCTCAACGGATCAAGTCCATAGGTCTCTTTCATTTCTTCCAGGTGATGGGCGTGGGGATACTTCTGCTCCCGAACGATGGCTTTGCAAGCTGTGGAGGCGACGCAGGCTATGCGTTCTGCAACTTGGAGCCCTAGCTCAAGCTTGGCGAAGGGTTTTCCCAGCCAGACAACCACACGACTAGCGCCTCCGAAGATTTGGTCCATGATGCCCACTTGGAGTTTGCGCTCCTGTAAGTCATTTTGGTTGATGCAGAGGGCGTCAATCCAGAATAGCATCTGAGGATAAGAATGGTGGAGCTGGAAGAGAGCATCGTAAAGATTAGGCTTGACAGCAAACTTGGACCCGTTGAGGAGAATGTAGCGCACATCCGTGTCCGCGTAGTATACGGGATCACCCATATTGGGGGGGTTCCATGTATAGGAGAGTGCATAGTATTCTGGTCTGGTAGGACTGGAAATGGCATGTTCGTCGAGGGTAAGAGAAGGTTGCTGATTGGAGTCAATGGCAACAGAGACGAGACGGAAGGAATCAGTGCCAATAGAGTAAGGATACATCTTGGGCTGTTAATATCTTTGATGCATCAACGGTAACTACCGGCAACCCTCTTATGACAAACTGTGAAAGAAACACGAAGGGAAGTTGTGAATACCTTAATGCGAGCTTGCAAAGAGGGGTACTGCATTGTCAGCCGCACTGCGATTCTGACTCTGGCTATTGGCCCCGGAACTTCCCGTAGCGATTATTCAATGTTGGACACGCCCGCCTGTTTGGCTGTCTATATGACTGCAAGCTGCTATGTGCACTACAGTCTTCTTCTATTACCATCAATATGAGCTTAAACTAAGGGGTTCATGAGTTTATTTAAATAAAAGGAATTTACCTAGCGGAGTCGTAAAAGGAGTGAAGTCACGGAATTCGCCGGTGGTGTGCGCTAACAGATAGCGGCTGAAATTCAGCACAGATCATATACCTCAATCGCCAATCTCTCCTTACTACATAACGACTGTTATAGCTTTGCATCTTTAATTCTCAGAAGGCTCTTATTTGAACTCGTTATACTTTAATTAAATTTTCGGCCGTTTGAGCGTCTTTAAAGCACCTATCTGGAGATATGCTCTGGCTTTGGATAAGCTCAACCCGAGGTCCTTGGTACTGCTGTTTTGCAAACATGAACCAATTCACTACCGAGAACAGCAATAGAACCAACAGAACGACACTGGCATAGTCTTTTCTCTTATTAGTATACTGTCCAAAAGGGTATTAAGTGCCACGAGGGGACTTACTCATGGACAAAGCTGATACGGGGAGGGAGCTGGGGAACACAAAGAACACAAGTTCGATAACAGCCGCAATAATAGTTCCAAAGTTGCAAATCCATCCAACAGGATCCGGAACTCGAAAACCACGGCATTGAGGAAGAAAGGTCGAGCTGCGCTTCTGGTAGATAAGTAGGGCAGCCGGTAAAGCAAATGAAATCATTTGCAAGAGGAGGAATGAGCCAACAAGAGCATTGAAGGCTGCAGTCGACGCCAAAAACAAGCACCCACAAAAGAGCACCAGCACGGTGTTAAGGATAAGTGCGTTGGAAGGGATCTCCCTGAGCTTTGGTGAGAGTTGAGAGAGGTGGTTTGAGAGGTAGAGTCCACGGTCTTTGGCGAATGCCCATATCAGGCGAGATGTCGTTTGCTGGATGGCGATGAGTACAAAGATAACGATGACCGTCAGCGAAACGAGAAAAGTCACTCCAGCAGCATCTGATCGCGTTGCGGTACGCCAAAGCTCAAAAATGGGCATTCTGTTCAGGTCAGTCATGAATCTCCACGGCTCATAGGTATGCTTACGTAGCCGTAAGGAGGCCTTCCACATCAGAGACACAGTACGCCATGGAGACAGCGAATGTGAACGCTGTGAGAAAGCCAATGCCTATTGTTGCCATGAGAGCGCGCGGGACCGTCTGCGACGCATTCAAGGTCTCCTCAGCAAGATGCAGGGCAGCGTCAAGACCGCCGTACATGTAACAGGGCGTCACCAAGCTGGTCATAAATGCAACGCCATCATTCCAACCAGTCGTGGTATCGAAGTTTGTCCACACCCACTCTGAAGATTGTTTTTTGCTTCGAGATAAGCATGTTATGCATGTGACGAAGAAAGTTGTCAGAGTAAGGACAACTGCATGGCTCTGTTAGAACGGGGATACATAGTTGACGAGCGCCGACTTACAAGCACAATCGTGGATCCAGTTTGTACGCTTCAGAAGAAACAAGTTATAAAAGAGTGAAAACAAGTTCAGTCCCTGATAGATGAGAAACAAATGCCATCGCTCCGGTTCATAGCCGTTAAAGAACTGAGGAAAGGAAACGAGCAACTGACTCCCAATAAGGGCCACGCTCGCAGCATTAATAGTCCATGACAGCGTTGATATCATACCGCAGACATACGAAAACTGGCGGTTGTACCTTTCAGGAGCCAAGATGCTGGTGAAATGATACTGGCCTCCAGCAGTTGGGTATACACTGGCTAATTCGGCGAGCGTCACAGCAGCACAAGCATAAAAGGCGCATGAGACGAACGTCCCGTAGATGAGACTGACTGTACCGCCGGCTGCGAGAGCGGTGGATAAACTTGCTGCAACGGCGACCCAACTGTTGGGGATGTTGAAACCGATTGCGATTATGCGGAGAGGGCCGATGTCGCGGCGAACTGGAGACATATCAGCTTTAGAGACATGTTTCGATGATCCTAGTTTGTGATTGTCTGCGTGTATGTGTTAGGGACTGCTAGGTGAAGGTTAAGTTGAATTTATCGCTCGATCTCAACCACTTACTATTTGTCATGTTGTAAGAAGTAATGCGAAAACCTTGTGTCGATAAGTCAAATAATAGAGTTTCTAACCTTCTTGTCAATTGAATTGAAGTTCTCTCATCATTGCCAGGAACAATGAGACGTTTTATCAATCGATGTTTCCTCTTTTTTAGTAGTAACGTATTTCACTGATATCTACCCAGAGATATGGGCGTCATCAAGCCAAAGACATCCAATTTTGCGCTTATGGACTTTCATTTGGCTGGCTCTCAAAAAGACGCGCTTATCTAACCTTGGTCTTATTGTGACTTGGATCAGTTGAGTGCGATTCCTTCTAGATACAAGGAGCCAGAACCACGATGGTTTTCGACGAAGAGATAGCAAACCAATCAAGCGCCTGATGATAGCTATTCACGTGTAGCCTAACTGGCACTAATAAGCCAGAGGAGGCGCTGAAATGGTTTGATTACACTGATACGCGCTTATCTTGCTCTGGATCAGTGGAAGCTGATAAGCAATTCCCACGCCAATGTCAGCCACCAATCCTCATTTGGGAAGCTTAAAAAGACCAAAAAGACGCGCTTATCTCCAGATAAGACGATAGCCCCGCAGCAAGTAACCGGCAAAGGTTTGGCTGCCATAGTTTGCGGTTTGCGAGCTGTCCAAGTGAGAGATTCGACATCTATGACTTGGAGTTGTACGATCAGAGGACCATGATACAGCATGATAGATCAGTATGATTTCTGTACTCTTCACATATAAAAAGGTCGTCAGGATCACTTGTTTCGCCGGTAGTAACAGAACTATTACACCAAGACTCAATAGAAACCATTTCATATTACTCCAAAGTAATTCTAGTCCATCATGACCCCTTCTATCAGCGAAGACCTTTCAACTCGAGTGGGCTGCGTCCCTGTTTCAAAGTACGGTGATGACCGATCTCGTCCCGTCCCAATAGTCAAAATCTTCGACATTGTGACCGCCGACTCTGCCGCTGTTACCCAAACCATTATCGAGGCTGGTGGCTGTGTTATTCGGAACGCTGTTTCTGCAGAGGACCTCGCTGTGATAGAGACAGATACCAGGAAGTTCATACAAACAGACGGAGAATGGACTGGAGAGTTCTTCCCCAAAGAGACAAAGCGAGTGATGGGACTGGCTGGCAAGTCAGCCATCTATATGAAGACTATTGCCATGAATCGTCTTGCTCGAGCAGTCGCAAACAATCTTCTTACATCCACGCATAGCTGTTGGATTGGATCTGAGTGGAAGACTTTCGTTAGCAAGCCTCAGCTGAACAACACGGTCATCTTCAGCATTGCTCCGGGAGCCAGAGATCAGGACCTTCATAGGGATGACATGATCCACCATCATGCCGTCAAGCGCCGCACGGCATCCGAGTACAAGATCGGTGATGATACAGGACTTGGCTTTTTTGTTGCTGGAAAAAAGACGACTCGCGCCAATGGTGCGACCCGCTTTATCCCTGGTTCTCACCTATGGGACCCTGCGACGCCCCCCGACGAAAAGCTATCATTCTACGCTGAACTTCAACCGGGAGATGCGTTCTTGTTTCTCTCAAGTTGTTATCATGGAGGATCAGCCAACACCACCACTGATGAGGAAAGGCTGATGTACAGCTGCTTCTATACCAAGAGCTTCTTGAGGCAGGAAGAGAATCAGTACATTGTTGCACCGGCTCAAAAGATGCTGGAGACCTATGATGATGAGACGTTGGAGCTTATGGGCTACGGGCTGAGTCCTCCGTTCCTGGGATGGGTTGATGCTATGCATCCGCTGGACTACTTGAGAGGAGAGAAGTCATTCCGCGACTTGTACTAAGTCAATTTACACAGATCAATCAGTAGCCAGGATTAGGTGGTCAGATTAAGAGGGTGCTTATAAGGCATTAGATAGACTGGTTTTAAACATCACCCTACACACATGGTAATCCCGCATTCCTTCAAGACCTTCTCCAACCCGTAAGACCCATAATAACATTCATTCAAAGCCATCTTTTCCCAAAGGAGCTGGAGTGAATGCAACGTATTATCAACAGCCCTCATGTCAAAGGTCGAGTTCAATATGATGTCTGAGAGTTGATCTCGCTGTTTCAGGCACCTCATGTGTGACCCAGCTGTCAGTATCGGCCACATAACGGTCGTCCAAGATGGAGACTCATATGACATCTTAGCAAAGACCTCTAAGAAGCGACCGAGGCAAGGTTCAATTGCCGCATAAAGCTCCAAGGTGGGTGTATCAGGCCCTTGGAAGGAGGACTCTAGAAAGATAAGACAGGCTTCACGATATAGCTGGCCTGCATATTCAAAGTCCTTGGGGAAATACCCCTGCATTGGTCGCCAGGCTTTTAGCTCTCCAAGGATTGATTCATATTGCTGGTAGGATGTCTGTGAAGGTGCGATCCCCTCTTTGATCCGTAACTTGGCCAGGTCGCATATCATAGGAATTGTTTCATACACAAGGTGAGAGCAGCCAAAAAGGCATCCGTAGAAATTTGACCCTTTATTCAGAAGTCCCAGTGAGGGCAGCGATAAGGTTTGATTCATCTCAGGATCGAAGCGAGCAGAGCGCAATGTTATGTTCGAGACAGTGGCGAGGTACGCGTATTGCTCTGCCAAGAATCCAAACAAGCTCGGATCATGGTCTTTGAGGTTTCGTTTGACTGTCTGAAACATGAACTTGCTCGCTTCTAGATGGTGATACAATGCACCGCGAGTGTTGACATCGATGGTCTGCGACAAGTCAGCATCGTGGTTTTATCATCCCCACAAAGTCAGCTAACCTCGAACCAGCAGAGGGCTAGGGCTGTAGCCAGCAGTGCAATCTGATCGCCTATATGAAGAACCTTCCACCGTGTCACAGCATGTTTCATTGCCCGAAGCACAATCGCGTAATGAGATGCGCATATGTCAGCCATGTCTGGCCTTTTGTAGAGTAAATGAGAAGCGCTGATGGCGAGGATAGTATGTTGCATTATGGTGTTACCAAAAGCAATTTTGAGATTGCAAGAGAGGAACGGATTCTCGGGATATGTTCTTCCAGCCATTCGTCTTGCTGTGACGTGTAGAAAATGTTCGAAGAGATACCGATTCGTGCCCTTGCGGAGTTGGGCGGGCACAATTATCGGGCCTTTGGCGACTGGGAAGATTGCTCGGGAAGATAGTTGCTTGTCGGTATGTGTTGTTGTTTCTCTATAGTCTGGCTGAGGAGTCCCATGATCACGAGTCGCGTCTGTCGACTGAGACTTGGAGCTCAATGGAGCTGCCCATTGACAGATCAGATGGTTTCTATCGCACCCAAGGCAGATCGGTCTAGACTCATCGCACTTCTTTCGTCGTTGTCGACATGGTACACAGCCCGTTTTGCTTCGCAAGCCGGAGCCCCTTGCTCCTGGTCTAGGTCGATAGGTCATTCTAGAAGGAGCCTACGGGCGTGCGCGATGGAGTAAGTGTCCTATAGCCGGCACTGGGTTAGGTAGAGATTCCTTTCAATTCTTGAAGTGTATCAGGGAGCCCCGTCTTATTGTACAAGCCACCTTAAGTGCTGATCCAAAACTGGGCGATAAGGGGAGATAACGGAGTGTGCGGAGAAGGCTCTTTACTTATTACAGCTAGTTAATAATTCTGTTCATTCTCTCTACTAAATATAAGTATAATATATTAAATGACAAGGATATCGGCATTAATATCAAATTAAAAAACGTTTAAAAATCTTTGTTAAAACTTTCTTCGGCGTTTGGTTCATCAAGCGATGGACTCAGAACGAGGCATATGTCGGTCGTTGGTGTTGGTGGCCAGAGCTGGGCCCTGTCCGGATAGCTTCTTTTCGAAAGCTACTGAACGCCTTGACATGAACTACGGAGTACGTCGATGCCCTGTAAAAGGCGGGGTTGCCGTATATAATTGCATTAGCCGGGGCATTCAAGTCGGGCGGTTCAGGATTTAGAACAAGAGCTAGCAAACAAGTTTAGTTAGTTGCAGGCACTAACAGATAGCGGCTTAAGTTCGGAATATCTGAAATACCTCTTTTGAGGCAAGTTATCTACGCCCCAATCTCTCATCTCTTCTTACCTGCTGCAACTGTAGCTTCAGATATACACTACTAAAACATTATTCAAACTGACTTGTCCACTCTCTGAGATACCCTTTCCGCAGAAATGCCTCAGCACCGTCGCCGAGTAGTGTCCTGCCCAACGTGTCGCCGTCTCAAGACGCGGTGTGAAGTACCAAGCGGCTCAGCTGTCTGCAGCCGTTGCAAAGTCTTGAGGTCAGCCGTTCACAACAATTTGACGGTCATATGGATCAACTAAAATGTGCTAAGATACAATGCAGAATACCTTGTGAGCTTCCCTTTGATGCGCATCGCGTCACCCAGACCTCTAAAGGGGCCGAGGGCTCCATCACCAGGAGTCCCCCTCGGCTTGTTCAAGCATGCGGCTGTGAAGAAAGGTATGAGACTCAAACATTTGCTTATGAAATCTTGTCTAATTTCTACTCAGGCTTACTGCGCTTGAGGCTGAAGTGAAAGACCTGCGCTGTGCAGTGCGTGAGCTTAGCAAAAACACAACCTCTCGCGCACCACAAACTGCACCGAGTGAACAGCATATCACGGGCTCGGTCCCCGAAATAGCCGTTGCCTCTCATGCAGGAGCTGAGGATCAAACATCCGCAACTCGTCCTGATCCACCAGTTGCTCCAGTCCATGTAATTCGAAAGATGTACACCTGGATTAATGGTAACCCTGAAACGCCAAAGGACGTCGTCAAGCTACCCGAGTCGATCGCAGCTCAATTAGCTTCAAATAGACTGGGCCTGCGTCTTATTGAAACGTAAGAGTAGTTGCCTGTACGACGAGCTAATTTTGGAACCTGCGCAGTTACATTTAACT